CATGAGAAGGAAAGGTGTGGCACTCGCCGCGTGGAGCAAAGACGGCTATTCAGCAGAGGTGGATGCAATCTTCGGAGACATAGACCACACACTTGGCGGGCCTGTATGAAGCAACTCTGGAAACACCACGCTATGCCAGCACACAGTTCCGTCACTTAGGGTTTAGAGACGGCGGAGGGAAAGGGAGAATATCAATCAGTCTCAGCATCAGCTACAGACTCGAGGACTGGGATGACCCTCTTGTCTTCGTTTTTCCCTGAGGTGACTGTCCGCCACCTTGACGCGGGGGAGGCCTCAACCGTGGTGATACTGCCCCCGAGTGGTCAAAAGTTAGTGCTTCAGCATTGAAGAAGAGAAACCGTTTAGCTGTGCCTCTCCAAAGCTCAAAGCTGACTCATCGGAAAAGCCCCCGATGCTGGGAAAGATCGAAGGCGGGAGGAGAAGGGGACGACAGAGGATGAGATGGCCGGATGGCATCACCCACTCGATGGACATGGGTTTGAGTAAGCTCCCGGAGCTGGTGATGGACAGGGAGGCCTGGCGTGCTGCGGTTCATGGGGTCGCAGAGAGTCGGACACGACTGAGCGACTGAACAAAAAGCTCAGCCCAGTCTGACAAAACCTTATTTCATAGTATTTGATTTCATGGGAGCAGAGAGAATTGAGGATAAAACATCTATCAGTTCAGTTCAGCTCAGTTCAGTCGCTCAGTCGTGTCCGACTCTCTGCGACCCCATGGGCCACAGCACGCCAGGCCTCCCTGTCCGTCACCACCTCCCGGAGTTCACTCAAACTCATGCCCATCGAGTCGGTGATGCCATCCGGCCATCTCATCCTCTGTCGTCCTCTTAAAGGCTCCTTACAGGGATCCCTGGGTGATGACGAATAAAAGGATGAGCATCACTGCTCTCGACGGACTGGACTTATACTTCCCTTGTCAGTACTTTCATTGTTTTACAAAAAACGATTCCATAGAATCTAAAGATATCGAATCTGGACATATATATTGAGAGGGCACGAACAGATGTGAAGTAGCACAAGAGGTGGATCGTATTGGACACAAGCCTTATGTTACCCCCTTCTTTCTGACGACATAGTTCTCCTTCCAAACACTGCTGCCTCTTTCCAAGCTCTCCAGCTGACGGGCGCCCACATTGAACCTGGGCCACACGTGATCACGCCAGCTCCCCTCAGCTTCTGGACTCAGATCAACAGTCGTACTGAGGAATATGGTTCCCGACTTTCTCTGTGGCCACCGAAGGGCCAGGTGATGCAGCTTGCAAGTTCAAGGGAGTGAGGTCCGCCTGGGGCACGCCTTGGCCGACGGGAAGCAAGAGACGAAAAGAAACAGGGTCTGCAGGTGTCCCTCTCTGCTCTCCCTGGACTGGTCCTAGCTGTGGTTTCTCCTCGCAGAGGAGTCTACCATAATTAAGTTTATCTGATGAGTAATTTTCTCCAGCTCTTGCCTCTCGTTGTGAACACTCACCCTTGCAGTAATTCATTTCACTGCATTATACTGCATCTAGCCCAGGCTCCGTTCCTTCTCTTGTCCTCTTCTTTACATCGTGGGATTTCATCTTCCAAATAAAATTTTAAGACTTAGATTCTTCCTTCAGGCTCTAGAAACGAGAAGACCCATGCTAAGATAGAAGTTATCATCGTCCCTTCAGGCTGCTGTAACAAAATGCCATAAATTGGGTGGCTTATAAACAACAGAAATGCATTGCTTACACTCCTGGAGGCTAGAAGTCCATGGCCAAGGCTCTGGCAATTCAGTGACTGGTGAGAGCCTGCCTCCTGGTTCACGGACTGCCATTTCCTCATTGCATTGTCATGAAGTAGATGGGGCAAGGGAGCTCCTTCAGACCTCATTTATAAGGATGCTAATCCCATTCCTGAGGGCTCTGTCCCATGACCTAATCAGCTTCTAAGACCCTATCTCCTAATGCCATCACCTGGGGTCATGCTTCAACATGTGAATTTTAAGAGGACACAGACTTTCAGACCATAACATTACTGGAGAAGGAACTCAAAAATATGCCTCACGGACAAGTTGTAGAAAAAAGGATTCTGGTTCCACACACATTTCTTTCCTAGTCATAACCAGACAGATGATAGATAGGTAGATAAAATAACTTGCCTTTGCCTTTTTCTCCATCACCCAGTTATTTTGAACATTAGTCATGAATTCAATCAGTCTATAGGTTAAGTCATTTCCTGTTAAGGGGGAGTGAGTGTTCTTGCTTAGGGTGAGAAATCACTGAATTATATTATGAAGCAGATGCAGTCATTAGAAGTAGGAGTCTATGAATTTTGGTTGTGTCTCTGGTTATATACCCTCCCTTTCTCCTGTCTATCTCAGGGTCTGTATTTCCAGCCTTCCCAGTGTATCTGTGAACAACTCAATATCACTGCAGTCTGTTTCTTCCAATCCTAAAAACCCAGAGTTTATTTCTTTAGTTTGCAACTGAGAGCCCCGAGTGCTGAATCCCTTCGTCCCCAGATTCCCTTCCAACACCGACCTTCACTCAAGTGGGAAGGAGACTGTGGTCTACCCCCTTCCACGAGAGATGGCGTCTCTTTGCAGTCATAATCCCCAGTGCAGGAATTACCCTCAGTTCTCAAGGTATTTACTGTTTCCCCTCGATCAGGCACTAGAGAGGAAACAGAAGGAAATCTCAAAATGCTGCCAGTTCACTGGGAACATAAGACACGCAGCAAACAGTTCAGTTGCTACAAAGAGCAATAAGCACCTAAGTCACAAACAGGAAATCACAGGTGGGAAGAGGCGCCTGAAGACAAACAAGAAAACAGGGCGGCCGGCCTATTCCCCGTGCATCTCACCGAGCCTGGGATCTGAGAACAGCCCTCTGTCCTGAGGAAAACCCTCATGGACACTGTCCCCAGGGACCTAGGAGGAGCTCACGGTCCCACGTGAGCCCGGCGCCATGACTGATCAGCGCTGCGCTTGGGGAAAGAGCCTGGTTCTGGGAAGAACACGGGACCTGCTGTCTGTCTCCCCTGCAGCCCTGTCCCCAACAAGCTAAGCTGCTGGGTCTAGAGCCCAGTGGCGTCCTGAGGTCCGAGCCTCTTCCAGAGGGGAGCCCGGTTAGACGGCAGCATTGCTGCTCTCGACCAGTTAGGCAGGCGCCCCGGGGACTCGGGGCGGGTTTTGCAGGCCTTCTGGTGGCAGGACAGGTAGGGCAGGAAGGAGAGGTTAGAGACTGTCGCTCAAAATACACCCTTGCTCATGCTAGTCAGGCGCAAACCAGCCCGGGGCTTCACCCTCCCAGGACCCTCGAAGGCTGCTCCGTGTCTGGCCCTGAGGTTGGGTAGAGATGCCTGCTGGTCCTCTGTCTCTCTTTAGTTTGGCCTCGGCACCTCCACTCTAAGTTTCTCTCTCTGTCTCTCTCTCGTCTGTAAGTCAAGCTTCATGGGGGCAATGAGACCCCAGACCTCCTACTCGTCTTCACTGCCTTCAGTTTTCCAGAATCCTGGGGTCAAGAATTGATTTTCTTCTGGATCCTTTGTGGAAAGAAAACCTACATGGAGACTTGGCTCTCTAATCTTTGAGGGACAAAGATTTTGCAGATAACAGCGGAGAGAGAGAAAAGCGAGAGGGATAGAATACCGGAGAGCAGAAAGGTGAGACCCGTGCCTCTCGGCTCTCAGGCCAATTTTCTTCCCAATAGTCACATCCCTGCCCGGGGTAGCACCTTGGGAGGTTCTTGTCATTTTCTGATCACTTTTAGCTTGTAAAAATAAGTTTTAACTTGGAACTAAAGATTCACTTTCAGGTGGCCAAAAGCCCAGCCCAGTTAGAAACTTCAGTCTCACGTCCTTCGCAGCCTGCGTCCTCCCTTCTGAGCCGAGTCAGCGCTGCAGCGTGGGGTGTGGCGCAGGGAGCCGTAAGGAGAAGACTGGCAGTGGAAAGGGGGCGTCTTCTCTCCGCTGCCGTGGAGTACTCGGGGGCGGCGAGTTGTGGGTGGCAGGCCTGCTCCATCGTGAGAACACTTGGGCTTCTTCAGAGGCCTTTCAGGGACTGGTCCACGAAGCATTTCCTTGACACGGGTGACGAGTTTTCTCCCTGATCTCTCTGTGACTGCCGTCTCCTAAGACAGCCCCTCCCTGACCCCGTATTCTGTAACCTCCTCTGCCCCAAAAGGCTCCTTCTGGTTGGAGCCCCAGCAAGGAGGCTTGAGCTCAGCGACTTTCCGCAGCGACCACTTGGCCTGTGGGCAACTCACGCTGTGTCCCGTGTGAGGATAGATGCAGGACGGTCCCGCCACATAAGCAGCGAGCTGGTGCACGGAGCTCCCATCTTCCAACAGAGGAAAGCAGAGACTGTAGGTTCTTAGGTGTCCCCTGAACTTCTCCATCCACTGACACCTAAGCGCGAATGAAGTGAAAGTCTGGTCTCCCCTCCGCGTACACCTTCTGCAAGAACAGTTCTTTTGGGGGAGAGTCCCCCTAACTGGAATGGGAAGGAGCATCCGCACAACAGTATATTCCCGTAAGGGTTCCTAACACTTAGCTGTTTCCACTTTTCCAAACTTGTCACTTTAATGACTCTTCAAAAGGATGCAGGTGAATGGTGGGAAAGGTCTTAGGACCAGTTGGTTCATTTTTAAGTAATTCCTTCAGGGCTAATCTAGCACCTTCAGAAAACAGAGCATACATCATTTATTGTCTCCAATTCAGGGCATCTAACCACATTTGGAGCCAACTGTAAAAATCACACTCAGAACCATGTTAGAGTTTAAAACATATTCATCGAGAAGTATCTATCATGTCCCCAACTTCTCTTTCTAAGGCATTTCTTGAGTGTCTGCACTGCTGATGGAGTTCCTTATTAAGTAATCTTTCTCCACCCTTTATTCCCCTTCAGCCTAGAGGGAGTGTCCACCTCCCTGCCATGACCCCAGCTGAATGGTACCACACTGGGTTTTCGTGTGGGGGTGAAGACTTTGTGGTCCTTTCTCCAGATCAGCAGAAATATGCATGAAGGAAACCAAACGAGCATCTCCGAATTTCTCCTCCCGGGACTCCAGCCAAGCTGGGAAGCAGGAGCTCCTCTTTGCACTTTTCCTGGCTATGTACCTGGCCACCGTGGTGGGGAACACGCTCATCGTTCTGGCCATCGGCTTGGACCCTTACCTTCACACCCCCATGTACCTCTTCCTCGCCAACCTATCCTTGGCTGACCTCTTCCTTGCCAACCTGTCCTTGGCTGATGTTTCCTCCATTTCCACCTCAGTCCCCAGAATGCTGATGAATATTCAGACCAAGAGCCCATCCATCTCCTATGAGAGCTGCATCACACAGATGTATTTCTCCATTGTCTTTGTTGTCACTGACAACTTCCTCTTGGGGGTCATGGCCTGTGACCGCTTTGTGGCTATCTGCCATCCTCTGAACTACACGACCATCGTGGGACCCAGGCTCTGCCTTTGGCTGGCCGCCGTCCCCTGGGCCCTCAGTAACGCCGTCGCCCTGACACACACCCTTCTGCTCCTCCGATCGGTCTTCTGTGATGGCCACGCTCTCCCGCACTTCTTCTGTGACTTGGCCCCGCTGCTCAGGCTGTCCTGCTCGGACACGGCGGCCAACGAGCTCGCGCTCTTTGTCGTGGGCTCGTCGGTCGTCACCCTGCCCTTCGCCCTCATCCTCGTCTCCTACGCCTGCATCACCAGGGCTGTCCTGAGACTCTCACGCCCAGAGGGGCGGTGGAAAGCCCTCTCCACCTGTGGCTCTCACCTGACAGTCGTGTTCCTCTTCTACGGGACCGTCGTGGGGGTCTACTTCTTCCCCTCGCCCTCTGACCCTGACAACAGAGACAAGATCGGGGCGCCGCTGTTCGCCGTGGTGACCCCCGTGGTGAACCCCTTCATCTACAGCCTGAGGAACACGGACATGAAAGGGGCCCTGAGGAGACTCCTCTGTGGGAAAAAGGGCTCTCCCTGTGATGCCCTGAGCGTCTGAATGCCTTTTGTCCCCACTGCAAAATGGATGATTCTGCTCAGAGTCCGTAGCATAGACAGGATGGTTTAACTTTTGATGAGCTTTCAGAAATCTGTCTCCTATTCCAAACTCTGAGGGTTTGGGGCTTTTCCACACAGCACTGACTTTTCTAAACAAGACCCTTAACCCCCATGGTAACTCACAAGAGTTCTACACATCTTGATTATAGTCTGTGTTACTACTAACTTTGGAGCAAACTATTTATAAATTAAAAAACCGATTTGTAATTTTTTAATAACAAACACATGGAGTACCTACAATCTAGTTGTTGCATCTTTGAGGACTGTTATCATTAATTCCTTTATTCAATCTAGCTTTCTCAGTGCCAGCTTTCTCATAGTTTGTTTCACCAAATTTGCTATTCACACAGATGTTTAATAGTTATAAAAATGAAGAGGCCCATGTTCAAATAATTTGGGGCATCTTTGAGATAAATGGAGCAAAATTTCTTAACTATATGATTTCTCAGAGACTTTAGTACAGTATAAATCCCCAGGAGGTTAGGTACGCAGCATTTCTCCAAACTAAACTCATTCTGTCATATAGAACACAGTTCATCACAGAGATAGGTGGGACTGGTGTTGTGCAAACCACACTTTGGGGAATGCATGCCAATAGAAAACCAGAGAGCGTGTGCACAGAAGACCTGATTCTGGTCTTGACTCTGGCCACAAGCAGACGTGAGACTTTAGGCGTGTCAGCTCACCTTCTTGACCCTGGTTTGTCATCTGCAAACTGAGGTCACTGATCACAGTTGCTTCCAGCTGAGGGTGCCTACAGGGATTTTCCAAAGTTCACACTGTCAGACGCTGCAATGCCTTCTCTGCTCTATCGCCTGCAGTGGTCTTGGATTCAGATTGCCGATCAAACTCACAAGATGCACCAAGAGTTAAGCTTTAAGCAACCATCAAGACAGGATGCAGGACAGCCATGCAACACACAGTGACAGCCAGGTAGAGATCTCGTGAGGCACAGACCTGCCTTCTACATACCTCACTCACTCCACACTTGGAATGATGATCATGAGAGAGAAGGCAGTGGGTATGGACCATCGTGAGAAAGAGCTGGAAGTCAAGGAAACTTTATTTATTTGTTTATCGCATAAAGGCCCTCAGGGGTGTGCAACTAGGCCCCATTTTCTAGCATACAGCTGCATCTCATCAAATAAGGTTACTCATCAATTACAGACCCCCCCCCATGACCAATTTAAATAGATGCAAGTGCCCTTCTTACCTCAAAGCCATTTCAGCAGGACTTTCGAGTGTCTTGGATCCAATATACACCTTTACAATTCTTGAGTTAGTTGCAAGAGGGATTTGATGGCATGTCAAAGCTCAGACTTCTCCAAGGCTGAGAGGAGACTGCAAATCATCTTTGACAGCTTTCCCTCCGAACCCCTGCCTGGATCTATTAGCCCAGACTCCCGTGGAGGAACCTCAGTTCCCTTGTATTCCAAAAATGCCTAAGTTGCACTCCAGCTCCAGGATTTTATGAATGTAGATGCCTACTGCCTAACAGACATGTCCCTCAGACATCCATCTTAAAAACACCTTGTGGCCAAGGAGGAGAGTTAACAAAACATGAACAGCTGCCGTGGCAGGCTATGTTTTCCAAGAATGGACGTGACAACATTTCCGTCCCACGTGCTCTTGAAGGACTGGCCACTTCCTCATCAAGAGGTGGAGTCTGAGGCCCTCCCCTGAAGCTGCAGGACTGTGGGGGTGGCTTTGACCAACAGAGGATCCCAGAGTGGTGCTGCGTGATCCCCGAGGCTCTTAGAAAACCCAGTGCACGCTCCTGTAGAATGCACTCTGGGGCCTGAATCAGCATGGGAGAAGCCCCTCTACTCCGAGGTCGCCCTGCTGGAGAGACCGGAGAGTCAGAGAGAGATGCGCAGGGTGGGCCAGGCGTTCCAACCAACACGGCTCTGAGTCTCCTTGCCAGGCACCCGCCACGCGAGGGCGTGAAACTCCTGCTGACCCCGGCCTCAGCTGTGATGGCAGGCACCTGAGTGAAAACTGCCTGGCTGCACTGGCAACTCTGAGAACTCTGAGGGATAACAATAAAACGACGATTATTATTGTAAGTCCCTTACTTTTGGGCTTTGTTATGCAGCAGCATGTAACCAAAATGTTGGTTTTGTTTGATGGGATAGAGTGATTAATATCATATCCTATATCGTTTGGGGGTTTCCCCAGCGGCATGGGTGGTAAAGAACTCGCCTGCCCTTTCAGGAGATGTAAGAGACATGGGTTCAGTCTCTGGATCAGGAAGTTCCCCTGGAGTAGGAAATGGAAACCTATTCCAGTATTATTGCCTGGAAAATTCCATGGACAGAGAGCCTGGCAAGATACACTGTGTGGGGTCACAAAGAGTTGGACGTGACTGGGTACACACATACCACACCCCCGCCACACACACACACACACACACACACACACACACATTATTTCATTTTAACATTTTACTGTAGCCACCATTTTAGGAACAAAAAGTGCTTTTTTTATATTAAGGAAGATAAGCTGTCTTGCCTATTAAGTCATCATGGATACCATGGTACCAGAATCTTCTCAGCTGCATAAACATCAATGAGGCAGAGCTATAACTTTGTCTCTTTATTCTGGTTTCATCGAGCCCATGTTTGATGGAGTAAGCACCATGATGGTCAGACCTCCGTCATTCAGTGTGAATTGGGCCTCATCCCCATGGGCCTGTCCTGGACCTCTATTACCTCTGTCTTACAGATGCTACAGAAGGTGCATTCATTCTAAGATATCGCTCCATCTGAAGTGAGTGATGGAGACGCTGAGCTGGCTAGAAACAGACTTGAATGCAGGTTGGAAGCTTGCCTGAAAAATTAAATGAAGATTAAGTTTGGGACACAAAAGACAGTTGATTAAGGAAATAAGGAATCACAAACTTTTATGAAAACCTTGACAGGTTTTCACAGAAGAAAGGCATAAATCTGTACCTAAATTCTTGTATTTCCCTGAATCATTCCTCTATTTGTCATTTTCAACAAACATCTATTATAAACCTTGTTTTCACCAGGCTCTGAGTCTGGCCCTGGGACAAAGAATGAATAATTCAGTCTATACCCTTAACACACTCACAAACTAAAGAGAGAAACTGACAAAAAATTTAAATGACTTTTAAGATTTGATAAACAAAGACAATATTTAGGCAATAATCCATGTCATTAGATTTAGAAAGCACACAGATTTTGTTCAAAGCACAGATAAACTGAATTTTATGCCATAATTGTTCTTTTGTGTTAGTCTTACTTGAGAAAAGCTGACTTGTGGTTCTATGAATAAATTACCAAAAAACCTCTGCTATTTAACTGTAGGTAACATAAATGCCTCAGAAATGTATAGGAAAAATTCATATGTGGAGGAAGAATAATTTGAAAAACCTACTGTATAAAGTGTCAGTAAATGTCCATATATTTATTCACTTAACAAATAATTTTAGTATTTAGTGAGAGTCAAAATAAGGCAGCACCACTGCTTTCCCAGCGCTTACTTTATAATGCATGAGACGGACAATGAACATATAAATAAATGTTGGCCATACTATGAGGCAACTAGAAGGCCTGTGATAAGAAGTGAAGTGGGATCAGGGGACAGACAGTGTCACAAGCTGGAATAGCTGTTTTAGGGAGGGAAGTTCAGGGGTGGAGGAAGGTTTGTCTTAGGTGTTTGAGCTGAGACCTGAATAAACTTAAGGAGTAAGCCATGAATCATCTTGAGGAATAACATTCCAAGAAAAAGGAAGAGCAGATCCTTTAATAAATAAAAAAAGATCCTGATATGAGAACATCTCTGATGTCCTGAAGGAATAGTAAGTGCATTGGACTAGGGGGAAAGGAAGGGTACATAGATATAGTCCTGGAGGTAGTTGGGTACCCAACCTGGTTGAATCTTGGAGGTCATGACAAAGAATCTGAATTTTATTCAAATCCCTCAAGCACTTAAAGCCATGAGACGGGATGAAATTACCCGAGGAGTGACCTCAGAGGGAGAGGAAGACCTATGACTAAGTCCTGGCTGACTCTGATATTCAGAAATAAGGAGCCGGCAGAGGCGGCTGAGCGGCAGCAGCCCAGAAGGCAGGGAAGCAGAGCAGAGTCAGGACGATGGAGGAAGGAGGTGAAAGCTCTTCCAAGGAAGGCGGGTCACCCGTCTCAAACACCGCAGGGGCCACCACCACTCCCGAAAGCACACATCCCCACCTGCGCTCCCCAGTCCACACTGCTCTCATCCTTAGCCGTCGCCCCACCAGAGCCACATCCTCAGGGCTGGATTCAGATTGGGAGTGCCTCCTTCAGAACATATTGCTCAGAAGATGGAAACATCTCAGAGTTCTCATTTGCCTCTGCCTTCCTTCCACGGCTTATGCCTCTCTCTGTGGTTTCTTTTCAACAGAGGAATTTAGATGACTCAGAATGACGAATCCCATTTAAACTGGCCTATGACTTTAGGCAGTACCCTTGGTGACCTTTTTAACGAGCTAAGAATACTCGGGAACATCTTCTACTTTCTTTGATAATCAAAGGATTTCTCACTGTGATCAAGTACAGTTTCTCTTAGAAACACAAGAATTGTTTAACATTTCAAAAGCAATCAATGTAGCTCACCATATTAAAAAACAAAAAAAAAAACTGTGATCATGCTAATGGATGCAGAAATTGATTGTGGACAAAATCCATTATTCATCCTTGGTTTTAGGTGGGGGAAAAATCTCTCAATAAACTAGGAATCAAAGGGAGCTCCCTTAACCTGGTAAAACTCATCTGTGAAAAATCTGCATAATGAAAAGTGAGGGACTAAAAGTGAAAGTGAAGTCGCTCATTCGTGTCCGACTCTTCAGGACCCCATGGACTGTAGCCTACCAAGAATGTTGGAGTGGGTTGCCATTGCCTTTTCCAGTATGGATGCGAGAGTTGGACTATAAAGAAA